ATTAACCGAAGCCAATGCTGGGGCTAATTTCTTCATACCTCTACACCATGTCATTGTCTGATCGCCGCGAAGCTTCTTCCAACCTTGCTCAACACGTGTAAACAGAGCACGAAGGGCAGGCGTACGTAAAACATGACTGAACCATCGGAGGCGGTATGGAATGATTTCTTCCGTTAGAGAACCAATATCAGCACACGACGAACCTCGTCATTGCTCACCCAATGTTCCCACCAGGCATGAGCAATGCTTCGAAGGCATCGGTGGTTGAATACAGTGTCGATTAGCATTCTCCGCTCCGAGAAGCCAGATCTCGCAACCGTAAAGGAGGATACTACGAACCGCGGCGATGTAAACCTTCCCTAAACGGACAGTCGGATGTTATTGCGGCGCCACAGGTTGACGAAAGTTGCCCTAGCTTTCGCTATTCGTGATGCGATCTCTTCCCCAATTCCACCTCCAGCTGTGATTCAGTTCCCGAGCTACCCTTCCTATATGATCGCCAGAAAAGGTAAGTGCAGTCACAGGCTCCTAACAATCTTGAACAAGCTCTTTAGACGCGGATGGTGCCAAGCACATACTATACCTGGTTTGTTCCGCTACCTATTTGATTCTGTATGCTGAATTTCGAAGGTATTGCATAATGTGATGTCATAATTGATATCTAATGTACAAACGAATCATGAACATTTGTGATTCCCGGGCGAGAAAAGCTTTTCATTGATTTTAGGATGATTGTAAGACAATTCTGTTTTTAACAAGTCCCTTACAATTTCCTTAACAAAATTACCTTTATCACCGTGGGCGGACCCCTCTATTGACGAGACGAATGAGGGAAATTGATAGATTATAAAACTCATTACTTCAGAACCAATTGATCTGACCTTTCTTATTCCTTCCGGTTTATACCAGTTCGTCTTGAAAAGGGATAAGTTACATCAAAATATATCTGTCACCCTCTTTTCTTTAAAAAATCAGCGGTTTAGGACACATCCAACGTTCGGGGTGTATATTACAATGATGATATTTTCCAGAACCCCATGTTTTCTAGGATATGACTCGATCATGTCGTTCCTGTGCTAGGTTTTGTCACTCTGAATATTTGTTTGTTTCAGAACAACGAAAACAATTATCATTCTGAGAAAATCAACCATTGTTATTGCTGTTCACGTTCGCTAGTTGAACACTGTTTAGCTTGTTAATTGATTTGTTGTTGCTTTTCGACAGTTTTGTCAGTTGAATGACGATTTGTGCTTAGAAGCAAATGAAACTTGTTTAGGACTCGTTCTTGCGCCCCATCTTCAATAGGATGGTAATTTTTACGAAACCACAATTCACTCTTCCTATCATTCTTTTTGTCACTGTTACAGGATCCCGTGCCCTCCGACGACATCTCACAGCGACGACCGTCACTCACGTTTAGCTCACCGGAGCTGAACGTTGTACCACTTAAGCCTGCAAGCGTGGCTGCTACAAATCCTATACCGTGGCGTCTAATACCACTGGATATGAGCGTGAAAATTCCATATCCCTTGATGCAACTTCCAATTGATGGTCTACCACATCGATTTGAAGACCCTAGGTTACGAGGTCAGCTAACTGCGTTCAGAGCACACTTGAAGCCCACAGTCCAATTAGATGAAATTGGTGGACCGAATGCAAAGACCACAGAGGTTGACTCACAGTCCGAACCAATCGACCAAACACCATCGGAAATCCAAAAGACGGAGCCAGCACAGCGTCGACCATTTAAATTACAACTTAACGAAATGGCGAGCACATTCAGTGCTAGCAGTTTCACTCCAGTCACCTCCACAAATCGCTCAGGTGATCGGTCTTATCTCGACGATCCTCGTTTTCGTAGGAGACGAATCGTTACGTGTGCGGCAGCTCCGACTGCAGCACAGGATACCGTAACGACGAGCGTTTCCGACAACTTGGTAGATCATGAAAAGAACAACCCGTGTGAGGTTCACTCATAGGGTCAGACAGTGTGATGCATGCTTAATGCCGGTATACAGAAGTTTACTTTCCTCTCAGAAGGGCAACAATGTTTCCGTTGATCTATTGGTTACAACCTGATCTCATTAATGTATATAAGAATAAAGTAATGATCGGGTGTTTTAACCAACGGTATTAATTGTCCGTCAAGTCAAATGGCATCGAAACTTCCGTACTGTTTGTTCCACTTTAAATAGCATTCTAGGTCACCGGACGAGACGCTCGCTCGAACCTGGCTGAATGCAGCCTGGAAGTCCGACAGCTCCACCGGTCTGACCTGAAAAACAAAAACAAAAACATTTTATTTAATCCATTTTTGATTCCCTGAAAGTCAGTCATTTGCCCAATTGGATTGTACTAACCTCGTCAAGGGAAATAGCTTGTATGGCTTCGAGCGTCAGTGAACGTATGGGACCCATAGCAGCTTCGCGACAAAGATTCGCCACATCTGCTCCAGAATAACCTGTATGAAGTGTTCGTTGAGCTGCTGTAAGACAACTGCATACCTTCTGACTGATCAGCAATTTTTTTGAAGTGTTCTTCAGAAAGACGGTGGTTTTGATTTCGGAGAAGATGTTGCACAATCTGTTTACGTGCCTCCCAGGTGGGAAGTGGGATATAAAGACGCTTAACAAAACGCCGGCGTGCTGCTTCATCTAGCTCTTGAGGTCTGTGGCAGAATAAGACATTGTAGTGATCTTACCTGTTTGTTGCACCGATAAAAAGAAGTCGTTCCTCAGCACTTGTGGCAACCCCATCCTAAAAGTTTAGAAAAAAGATTTGCTGAATGCGAATGATGACTAGCTTTAAACATAAATCGAACGCATGGCTGATCGGTGGTGTACATATATATATATGTAAATCTTAAAAACGCAATGATCACTCACCAACTGAACAAGAAATTCTGTCTTAATTCGTCTACTGGACTCATGCTCCGTTTCTGAGCGCTGCGTGAGTAACGAGTCAACCTCGTCAATAAAAATTACAGCAGGTTGATGCACGCGGGCCACGGCAAACAGCGCACGAACCATTTTCTCACCCTCGCCTACCTAATGCAACAAATAAGACAAAATTGAGGCGTCACAAGCGAGAATTTTGTAGTGAATTTAAAAATAAGGTCGATGAGGACGTACCCATTTAGAGGTGAGAGAAGAAGCGCTGATACTGAAGAAGGTGGAATTGCTCTGTGAAGCCACACACTTGCCTAAATGAGAAAAAAAGTACGCGCTCAACACTTATAAGTGAAACATAAACAAAACAAACGGATAACAACAATGGGCATATGCACTTACCAATAAGTGTCTTCCCAGTTCCTGGTGGCCCAAAAAGCAGTAGACCTTTGGGCGGGCCGCGGAGTCCGGTAAACAAATCACTGCGGAAGAAGTCAATAAATGGCGGCTTGACAATAAGATCACGTGTTGATAGTTCAAAAAACGGTTGACAGTGGCACAGCACTGAGCGTATGGAATTTTTTACGTAGACTCACGGTCTCAGCATTGGTAAAATAACAGCTTCCTGTAGGGCCTTCTTCTGAAATTCCAATCCCGCAATATCCTCCCAAAGAACTTGACTTCTGCTGTCCATGATCTAAAGCGCGACGAAAGTGTAGGGAAGAAGACTTAGCGGCAAAGCGATGCTTGATGTGCATGAAAAGTTGCAAGACCTTTTCACCAGCTAAGCCTGGAACAACTCTATGACCGCATTGAGGAATTCCTGGAAGAGATGACGGTATCTATACTACAAGCCTCTGAAGACTATATGGTACCCGGTGGTTGTACCTAAGATCCACGGTTAAGGATAACAAATCCTTCCGAAACCCCCAGCAGAACACGAAGTTTTGTTCCAATCACGTAACCTGAAACCGCATTATGAGACGCGTGAAGGAACACGAAAAGTCTTCAGGCTTTATTAAAACAATATCACTTGGATGCTCAAAAAATATGAATTCACGTCTGAATAATTTTTCGGAACTACGATGCGTAATAACACGGTCGTATGGTGCCGGTCACATCAGCATGAACATTGATATTTTTAAGAGACTTCAAATTAGGTCAGCGAACAAACAAGTAGAAATACTCGTTTGTTCACAATACTCCGCTTCACTGGCGCCCGGAAAAACTAATGAGAACTGATCCAATAACTGCTTAGCTTAGCTTAGAGGAGATTTCGATGTTTTTGGATGAAACAGTAATTACAGTTTTAGAAGAAGGCGGATCAAATTCGAAGCTCTGCGTAAGGTCATCAGTTTAAAATTTTTGTGCGGTGAGGTATCGATCCGATTTGGCCCGTTTTGTTTGTCGGATACATTTTCCACCCTCGGAAATTACCCATCGATCTACCATATCGTTGCATTTTTTCCCTAGTATAACAAAAGGTGCCAGTTGGATTCATGCATTCACCTCATCCATACTGGAGTACCAAGCCCCGGAATGAAGGAGGGGGTAGCTACTGTGTATTGTTCACTGACTCGTGAGTGCTGAAGTGGCTAACAAACGACGGAAAAACTCAGATCGTGAACGTTGTGATCTTTGCTAAGAATAACTAAGGAGATAAATTGGACGTTGATCAGTGCTTTACACGCCTAATAAGGTTGGGAATAGAGAGCGGTGCAGCAATGTTGCGCGACTCAAGTCCTGGACAATCTCGCAATCCACCAATAGACTGGTGAGTATTTAACAATGATTAACATAAGTGAATGTGTTTACTTTAAAGCTTTAACATTCAAAGACCGATCTATCGGGAGACCTGTGCACCTGATTTCCACCTGGACAGATTGGGTCGCACTGAACATTGAGAACTGTCGTACAGAAGCAACTTTCTTCAAACCGGTGAGGGTCAGGGATATGTTCGTAATAAAGATGTTCAGTTATTGCGTCACCGTTGCAGATGAGTTTAACTGTATTGGCGTACATAACGAACCGCTGCTACGGTCTTAAAACATTGACGACCCACTGGCTCATTTTGCGTTGTAGTGAGCACCTTATAGATGGGATTGGGTTCACCATGCACATTTAACTTGAGTAGTCAGTCCATTTTAGGAAACGGCTTCCTAGCATCTAGATCATACTTTCATGATGAGATGCCCTTGGGAAAGGGACGAAACGTTGAGAGCAATCTCCTGACCCTTTCCCTTCAATGCTTGCATCGCGATGCGTTCCAATATTTACCGATAAAATGGGATGTTTACATATCCAGAACCATATGGGCGTTCCTATATTAAACGCGCTGTTACCAGATTACATTCCCTTCAAATGACTATCTGAATTTATTCGGCACGGTATTCTATGGTGACTGCTTGTAATTTATCCTTTGCCTCGTGCCAATCGTCTGACACAAGGTGCGGCGTTCGATGCAATGATCAAGCACGACAAAAACGGGCTAATCTGGATCGAAATTAAGATAAGTCTACCTCACTCATGATCAACTCGACCATCTTCGGATCAAATTGTTTTAATCGCTCGTCACCCATGGGCGGGCCTCCGAATTCTGCATTTGCATCAGTCGACGTTGCGGAAATCGCGTTAGGTGCTGCATGGTCGGTGGTTGAAGCAGAGGGCACTGGTAGGACAAAGTGACTATTGGGGCCGCGTCTGGATATGAGCGCATGGCAGAGGAAGCAAAGAAAAAAGGGAAAAAAGGATGTTCTTATAATTGCAAATAGGAGCAATCCCATATGGACATACATGTTTGAAAGCCTCATTAATATTGGCAACAGTCAGAGGTCTGCTACTTAGGGGTACAAACGAAGAATATCAGGTTTGCTATACGTAAAGCGCGAATACAATAGTACCAAAAAGATAATGATATACAAGAAACAAGCGCCGTGGAAAATGTCACCGAACGGTGGGTTGAAAGAAAGACTGAAAATGCAAACCGATCAGCTAACACCGAAAGCCAAAGCGCTTCCAGAAAAAAATGAGCCGCCGTGCTCTGATATAGAGGGGAATATGCCAAAATTTAGTCGTGATGGACCAATTATCCAATTTACCAGTCTCAGGTTGTTTCGAGTGTAAACCACTGATAAAGTCTTCATCCTCGATTTTTGGTTTGAAAGAAAAGGAAAGTATGGACGGAATCACGATATATGCCATACCTGAAACTAGTTGCTCAGAAAGGAAGCCAGTACTACTAGAGAATTAATATCTCTGCAACTATATAATCCCTACATTGGCAATATGAAACCGAGCTGTACGTGGCACAGAGGAATGAAAAAACTTCATAGCTTATGAACAACCGCTCATTCGGGAGCACCAGTGAGCAGACAGCAAAAGNAAAGTCTTAAGTGAGAGTGAAGGACCAGACTGAGTTTATATACCTCATACTGTCGGCAATACACTGGTTTGAACAAGGAGTTAGGGGGATAGATAAAACCGCAGCATCTGCGTGTGAGAATAAATTAGGACTATTTCGGAGAGCGTATCACGCCAGCGGTGATAATAAGATGGATAACGCAACTTTTTCGAACACAAAACAGCAATGAAACGATGCTCTTACCGTCCGCCAAGAGTGCGTTTAACAGTTCTACCACCTCCTGAAGTTCCATGCATAGCTTCCTTGGCCTGTTTGGATTGAAGGTTTTGATGAAGCTGGGGTGGATTCGAAGAAAGAATACGTAGAGTTAGGTGTAAAGTAACTAATTCGCTCATTTTTTTTATGTCGGTATGTATGCACACCTAAGTATTGTCGATAATTCTTGTAGTACATGACCAACGAACTTACCACAGTTGTGGCGGTTCGAAACGGACTCCTGGGGGGATGTTCAGTGTCAGTTTCTTCAATGTGAGGCTTCTTGGAGGGAGCAGTGCCAATGTAAGTGCGCGTACAGTCAGTTGCCCTTGATTGACTGGACTGATTCGGATAACAAACCGGTGACGGAACGACTGCTGGAACTGGTCGCTTCTGTGGCAGATGTGCGGCCATCGTGTGATTTGGTTCTTCAGGGAGTGAATTTTGCCATGGTAACGAAGTGGCAGAAAAGCAGTCAGACCTGGTGTGCTGTAAATGTTAGACGATGAGAAACAGTCGACGAACAAAATTCTCGGTTGCTTCGACGTGACGAATAGTTAAAACAATGAAGGACCGTTGGGTCACAAAAGTTACCACTGTTGAATCAATCCGTAATTTTTCGTCTCAGAAATTGCGGAGTACAGGTTAAAGACCACTTCAGCAGACGTTCCTAAAGAGATTGTGTTTTCCTCCATTTTAGAACAGTTTGGTCGATGATCTTTCCTTCTCTTATAGTTCACCACTTCCCTTAAATTCTTTCTATTTCCCTTCCAGTAAGAGATTTTCTTTTACTTCTCAAGCTCCCCATAAGAATACCCTTTAAGTGCAAGACAAACGTTTGTATACCACAGACCATTTTTCAAACTTGGTCACAACAATCCAAAAAAAGATATGTAGGACCATGTCGGCTCCCGCTTTTGTGGCTCACGTAGCATAACGGTGCTCAGTTGTTCATCGAGTCGGGCAATGAGGTATCAACTGATCCTTTAAACAGTGAGCCAGTTAATCCAATTTTATTAAAAATTCATAAACTTAGACAGGTAAATAGCATTATGAGTATGAAGGAATAGATTGCGCGAAACAGGTTATGAAGAAGATGAGGAAGTGTTGCGATCAGACGTAATTTCATAAGGTCTATGGACAATTTCATCATAGCTAAAACTAAGTATTCGGTATGTCCACACCGAAAACCTATGAATTATTATTATTATTATAATCTATAATCTCGGCGCTGCTCTAACATTCCAATCTTCCAGCGACTTCATCCAAGTGGGCAGCCATCCGGAAGTGAATCAATATCACTATCCTCGCGCAATGACAGGGTTGTTCCCGTAACCAAATCCATAGAAAGTTAAATAGAAGAGGAGCATATATATATATATATATATATATGTATATATAGCTTTGTGCTAGATCTGGGACGGAAACAGGTCTTAGGAAACACTAGATTCCTAAACTTGACTTTCAGGAGGCACTAAATTTTCGTTCGTATTCTGATTCAATAAGTTTTGATCTAACTTTCCTAGACAGGTGGACTTGCGTTTGCTCGCCTACAGTTTTTCCATTTACTGCGGATATTCCACATGATGTTTAAATCAGAAAATTTTCGATAAAATCCATCTCTTCGTTCGACTGATAAGTGACTTTCGGACGGATGTATGAGCAACGTGTTTGACATTCAGCTTTGTAAACCCAGTCATAGATCCTTGCAAGGATGACGCAGGATAACATTGTTAGTTGAGGATAGATCATTGAAGACCTCGCGCCAGGGCTTCAAATTCAGTGTGATCAATAAACATACAGGTGGTATTCGTAGAACTACACTCATTATACACTACTGGGGTTGTAGAAGATGACGTTTCCATCAGCGATTTCTGGTCCGAAGCAAAACGCGGATTGACAAACAGGCTGGTTTTAGTGGCATGGAGGAATGAACAAATAAATATGCGCTCGTTGTCTAGTCGGTATAAAGATATACACTCGGCTAGCTGTGATAAGTATTTGTCCTCCTTTAAAATAATTAACAGCTTGATGCATAAACACATCGTTGCGTATTGACATGATTAGGAATCGCTTAAAACAGTGTCGTATGAGAATATTTATAAAATTCATTGTTAGCGAACACCAGGCGCCATATCGACAATACCTGATTGGCTGTAAACCTGGTCAATTATTGCATAAGACTAGGGAGAATCGGACGCAATAAACCGTGAATGATCCTTTTGGTGACGGTTGAGAGATTGCCATTTAAATTACACATTTAAAAATGTTTTTTTATTTCCTTTTTTATTTATTGAATATACAAATGTACAGCCAACTGTCAGGAAGGGGGCTGTGGCCATACAAAGGCTGCCTGGGATAAGTGAAGTTCAATGACAGATTATGATGCATG